GCTGGGGTAGTGCTACCCGAAAGCCGTCTCCATACTCCGCTTGCGCTGCCGTACGGCTAGCCACACGCCTAACCTAACCGAACGCGCTACTACTCTGCGGCCTCTCACTCACTGTGCTTAGGAATGTGGTATCTACCCCAAAGCTGCGGGTACCACCACCCTACAGCTCCGTTCTCGTGCACTATTCAGCGAAGAGCGGCACGTTACAGCAGCTGCGGACCCATTGGCTTCGCACATGGCAGTGACTGCCCTCGGAGGCTAGTGCTCACCCTGTTTCTGAGATGGTAAAAAGGAGCACTGAGAATACCGAGTGATTGACCGTTTCCGCTAGCACGTCTGCTCCTATAAAACCAGCGTTGTCTCCGCCTTCAGGCGGCTAAAGAGCATTTAAATTCTTAATTCAGTGAACTGGCTTCGTATGAACGGCAGCTGGGAATTCGATGGAGTGAGCAGAAGATGGAGTGGGACTTTTGGACGGCACTGTTATTTGCTGGCACCGTTTGTACGACTATAGGTAAATAAACTTTCAGCAGCACTCTTTATTTTGTTCATGACAGTTAGTCGTTTTTGCTTTAAAAAGAGGGCAGTATCTGGAAAGGTTTTTCAAAGAAGAAAACACCGTTCTGGGGTTCATTGAGGTGAAGCATCACAAAAATTATGCACTGTCGTAGCACAGCGCACCTAGTCGCCATCGTGCTCATAGTGGTCAGCATAGTTCATAGAGGAGTCCGTACAAAGAACATGGAAAAAACGGATAGCCATTCTCTCTGTATAAAGGAGCACTCCTCTCCAAGACACCTCCTGCCGTTGTGGAAAGCTTTTGCAAAATACGACCCCTCCTCGAATTTTCCCCTTCGGTGCAACCCCCATCCTTCCCCATATCCCATCATACCTGCAGATTTCCCAAATTTTTCCGAATTTCCTATAATTTTTTTCGCACCTATCCGGAGCTTATTCCAAGAACCCCTCCAGTTTTCCCCAGAAAAACGCCATCGAGCGGATGGTTGAGGGGAGAGCGGGGCATTTTAGTGCACATGTAACAGGTAAAACATAGAAAAGTTAGCAACCGAAAACAATTTTTTCAGAGGCAAACACAACCCTTCACTTCAGCTAGCAAATGCGATCCACCATGTTTTCCTAGCTGTAGCCCTGATCCCCAACATCACTCTCAGAATAGAAGGGGTGAATTATTTGGTGATCGATTCAATTTTGGGCGCATTAATCGGCTCTTCAGCTTCCATGCAGAGTAGTCGTGACATTTGGCCTCTGTAATAAGTTGCGGGGCAACTCGATGAACAGTTCAGTTTCGATACCAGACGTTGTTTGGTACCAGATTTCGATCTTGAGATTACCCCACTAGCTGAAATTTTCTGCACATTCCTGTTACGAAATCTTGTAGTGGAGAGAGCGCAGAGGAGGCAACGGTTTTTCAAGGCCAGCCGAAGACGCAAAAATACGATTGGCTATTCCAAGAGGAGGGGACTCTGAGGTGGCTGTGCCACTTATCATGCGTGAAAGGTCGGAATGTGTGAAGTCACAGCTATCCCAGAAAGCCATGCAAACGAGGAAGTACAGAGGAAAACAGAAAATTGGTAGGACTGGAGGGCTGAGGTTCGAGCAGTCTGTGTTGTTCATGTTAAAGCCCAGCTTCGCTTCATTCCATCTTCATTTCGAGTAAATGTCACAGACAGGAACTGGAGCAATTTCAGGATATGGCCATATCTACCCAATCACTAATGCCGGCAAGATTGTCACTATGATATTCGCACTGTTCGGCATTCCACTAATGCTGCTGGTACTTCAAGATATCGGCAAACTGCTCACGATAACCATGAAGTTCCCGTGGTTCCAAACGAAACGTGTCGTTCGTCGCATTTTGAGGTATTAGGCATTCTTTAACAATCATTCCTAATCAAAGAACTGCAGCATAATTTACCTTTGCGCAGAAGTGGGTTGAGGGCGGGCATCGTCATGATCGTTTTAAGCCTTCAATCTCATTCGCCAGCCTGGACCTGTGTGAACGACGACGTACCTGTGAAGCAGCAGAAGCTGAGAGAATTATCTACAGCAGCTTTTGAAACCTGGTCAGCTATAGCTGACGCGTCGTAATCAATTGGGGCGGTATCAGGAGGCGTGGAATGAGCCAATACGCAGCCGCAGGTGGGCATATTCTGTACCTGCTACCATTGATTGCGACGAGGTCAGCTGTAAAACACTAGGAGGAGCAGTGCACAACGTGTTCGCTGAGGAGCGATTCTGTGACATATTCGTTAGGGAGCCAACGTCGACGTCCACTAGCGATGGTAGTCAGGTTAGGCGAGTTGGAGGGAGGGGGTGCTTTTTGCACCACCAGTGGAGTGAGTAGGAGCTATAGGGAGGTGTGAGGAAGCTCGCCCTTCAGTGTCTTGAGTGCCACGCGGCGCAACGCCGGATATTGATTTATTGATTGATTTGATATTGACGATATTGGTTATATTGCTCTCTGGAGAAGAAAGAGTAATTAGTTTATTATCCAACTTCACCGGTCAGCAGAATAACTAGAATACGAAGTAGAATATCTTGTTAACCTCGTATTGCAGTAGCACCGAAGTGAGTATTGATGTACAGCGGATATTGCGTAAGGATCGACGAGAACAGTGCAGAGCACAGAGCGACCGGTCTCTGCTCACAGTAGGGCTCTTTCCCGCGCGATCTTGCACTTTTGACCATTCGACCGATAGCTTGGCGGAAAAATCGAATGATGCTTATTCTGCAATGAATGAGTAAGCC